AAGCGTTGTATGAGTCATAGGCGTAGGCAGCCGATCGCTATAATTATTAGCACGCCTTGTAACACAATGAAGGTGGGGAAAAGTTTGTCACGTTACTGCAATTCTATCCGATTACCTTCATTTCTTCTCAAACAAAGCGCCTACTACTAGTTTGACATCGTCTGCCCCTAGCAGTGCATCACACGGCTTCATGTTTTTCGTTCGCGGTATAAAAAATAATTGACAGATGTTGTACGAGACTGTTCGCTGTTGCTCTCTCGCTCGCTCTCTCTCTCTCTCTCTCTCTCTCTCTCTCTCTCTCTCTCAAGTACTAGCTAGCCGTATTTCTACTATTTACGCGTACTTGGCACAGGCATGACTCGTGCCTGACTACTGCATGCTAGGCGTTGTGTGTAATACAATATAGAAGGCAGGTATGTTAGGCAGTCGGCAGCTAAACCGCTCATCTACACAATATTTGAACATCGCTCGTATTGAGATCATATGTCAATGGCTTTACCATGTCAGGCTACTGAGTTTCTATTACAAGGCTTTTAACTTCTTGAGAGGCTTGTATGGAGACGGCCCAGCTGCTCAAATTCGGCAGCTGCACATCACACGGAATGCCCGTAAGCAGCTACGCAGATTGACAGAGGCGAGTCGCACGTCAGCGCGTCTGTGTTGATTCACTCATTTCTGCAGCTGTCAGCAGAATTAGATAGTTTCAATGAAAGTGCAATGCAGACTTAGCTCAGCACAAAAACGGACCAAATGAGTGAGAGTAGTGCAAGACTGCAAGTCTGGTCCTATTAATGAGTGATGTGCTCACGCATCGCACGATACATTGAGTAATCTCGATAAGCGACTGCTGGTCCTATCGCTGTATCATCAGCTAAGTCATCTAGTACATCTGTATAATTCTAGTTAAACACCTGCTTTATAAACAATGTACGATCAACATATACGTGACATTGCTTTTAATGTGATTCCATAAGTCAAGTGCGCGCCTCATCACCTGTGACCTCTAGGCTCCAGCTTCATTCACGCTAAGCGTGAGTTCGACGTTCAGAACTATAAATAGGTTAGCTGCGTTTCGACATGTTGTGTAAGCACTTCACCTTGTAGCACTTGCTAAATCAGTAACGCTGCACGTTCAACTGTAATGGTCAAGGCCAGGTAAGGCTAGAGGCCTAAATCACACTGTGACTTTAAAATTCTAACAGGCTATGTCTCCAATAGATCACACTTGTCTGCATATCATCAAGACATAGTCTGTCAAAAGCTGTAGACTTCAGATCGAGGCTGTCGCACTATCGAGGACTGTGCATTCCATCTAACTGCCTTCATCACTGAAGATGTCAACATTGGAGTGAAACATGCAGATGTACACTCACTGGTCCTATCAAGTAGCTATATTATAGTCAGACTTTAATGCACTGTTAATAGATGTGGGGTGGGACCATCGAGAAACTCTGGTGCTCACTCCCCTAATTTTTCATGAATTTGTTTTTTAATAATGCAAAACGCCAGTCCTGCAAGGTCCTTATTATCCCTCCACATACACCGAAAGAATCCGAGAGGCAAAATCGCGTCTGTAAACTGAACTGCTAACATACGATGCAATTCCCGACTTCCTTGTTCAGCCAAGACTAGATCGCAACACGACTGCCGCTCAAAAAGTACATGGCGTCGACGGGTCGGGGCAATCCGAGTAGTAGCATTCAAGATATATCAGGAGATCGGTCGAGTTTTATGACAACTATGCGGCGAACAGAATAGCCAACTCGCCCCATTTAAAAAAGCGCCATGATTGAGTCGAGACAGGTGACCCCAGACTTGATAGAAACCGCACGCTGTAACTCGTTAACCAATTTGCAAAAGCATGTGGCGTGTTCCGCCAAAACCGTTCGAGTTATCCGCTTGAGGTCGACGAGACCCGTTGAAGCACAGCTGTAAGCTACGCGAAATTATACGGCTCGTTTATCCCCGCGAAGGTGAACCCGTGGAACCACGCTGTAAACTCGTTAACTCGTTTCCCCGACATGGTGAAAGCCCGTGGCAGCCACGCTGTATACTCGGTTAACGCGTTTCCCCCGAAGGTGAACCGTGGAAGCCAACCAGCTGTAACTCGTTAAGTCGTTCCCCCTGACAGGTAATCCTGGAAGCCACGTGTAACCGTTAACTTCGTTCGCCCCGACAGGTGAACCCCGTGGAAGGCCACGCTGTATACTTGTTAACTAATCGTTTCCCCCCCCGCAGGTGAACCCGTGGAAGCCGAGCGCTGTAACTCGTTAACAGTTCGTTTCCCCGACAAGGTGAACGCCGTGGAAGTGCCACGCTGTAACTCGTTGAACTCGTTTCCACCTGACAGGTTGAACCCGTGGAATCGCACGCTGTAAGCTGTTAGAGTTGCGAATCGTGTTCCCCCCCGACAGTTGAACCGCCGTGGAAGCCACCTGTAATGCGTTAACTGTCGTTCCCCCCGAACAGGTGAACCGTGGAAGCCAATGCGGCTGTAACCGTTAACTTCAGTTTCCCCCCGACAGGTGAACCGCGTGGAAGCGCACGCTGTAATCGCTTAAAGCTCGGTTTCCCCCGCCAGGTGAACCCGTGGAAGCCACACGCTGTAAAAAAAAAAAAACTCGATAACTCGTTTCCCCCTGACAGCTGAACCCGTGAAGACATGCTGTAAACTCGTGAAACTCGTTGCTCGTAAGCAGGTGCGCATCCGCTGCAGCAGGTGGACGCAGCTTCGCGCTCGCGCCGCGAGCCGATGGTGGTTCATCGCCGTCGCAAACTGCACTCGACGCGCAGGCCTCCACCGGTCGACTACAAGATCCTCGATGCGAACGGGCCGCCGAGCGAGCAGGTGGCGCTAACCATTGTCTCCGCGACGAGTTCTCCGTTCGCTGGCAGACGGACATCTGCGTTCTTCGTCTGCTCGTGGCGCGTCGTCGTCGTGACGATCGTCTTCGGCTTCGCCTGCGCCAGCGCAAGCTGCTTGCCACACCACCTACCGATGGTTTCATCGCCGTGCAGTGCCTCGAGCACGGCGCGCTGCTCTTCCGCCGTCGTCGCCTAACGTGCGCTACATGGCGGATCCCAAGGCGTCGGCGCGGCCGGCGCGCGCGAACCTCGCGGACCGCGTGCTCGCCGGCCGCGGCGTACGCTCGTCTTCCAGCTGCTGGCCAATCATCCTGCTCGCGCGAAGGAGCTTCAGCGGTGACAGCGCGACGAGGCTGCGGCAGCGAGCGTCCGGTCAAGATCGGCGTTCATGACGGTGTACGGCGTCGCGTACGTGCGTGCGTGTTTCGTCACGAGGCGGCGTCTTGCGATCCCCGACTCGTGCTGTACCGTACGAGAGCCTCGCCGGCTTACGTGCTCGTTCGCGATCCGCATCGTCGGCCTTTGGCTGTGGTTCGTGCTACGCGACCGATCTCACCGTCAACACTACCTCTGGAGAAGTTGCGCTGTCTACGTGCTCTCTTCGGCCGTCTACTCGGCGTGGTTCCTCGCCGGCGCCCGTCGCTCGTCGTCGTCGGCAATAAACTTCGCGCATCGCAAAGTGGGTCGCGCTGAAGGTCGTCAGCTGGCATCTGAGCGCGCGAACTCGGTCGCCGGCCGCAGCGTTCTTCCTCGCGCTCACGCGTCGCCCGTCGGACGAACAAGGTTTCCCTACCTACGTGCGCGACGGTCGCAGATCGCGGGCGCTCGACGCCGGAAGCGCGGGGCCCGTGCGCGGCGGAGGCGACGATTTGCGGGAGCGCGGTTGGTGCCGTGCTGTCACGATTCCGGCCAACAACAACGCCGCCCGCGTGCGCACCACCCGTGACGCGCCGTCGGGCGCCGCCGCCGGCGACGATGCGCGCGGCAACTGCGCAACTTTCACCGAGCGTTTGGTGAATCGGCGGCCGGCGGCGGGCCCCAGCGGGGGCGCGGACTGGAGGCGCCGCTGTGGCTGTGCGGCGGCTGCGGCGGCGAAGCAGCGGACAGAGACGGACGTGTGCCGTTCACAATCATGAACCGGGCCGCAGGCGCCCTACGACGACGACGACGGCGTGAAGACGGCCGAAGAGTTAGGGGGAGCCCGCGCGGAGGTGAGCGCGGATTGCAACACGGAGGAACGGCACTGCAGAGGCATGCAGGCTGCCTGCGATGCTACGCTCAACGCAGAGTCAAAGCCAACGACGTGTGGCTATTGATCCAATGAGTGTGAGAGTGAGAGAGCAAAGAGCGAGATAGAAAGAGAGAGAGAGAAGAGATAGAGAAGAGATAGAGAGGAGAGAGAGAGAGAGAGAGAGAGAGAGAAAGAGAGAGATGAGAGAGTGAGAGAGCAAGAGAGAGAGAGAGAGAGAGAGAGAGAGAGAGAGAGAGAGAGAGAGTGAGAGAGCGAGTAGAGAGAGAGAGATAGAGGATAGAGTAGAGAGAGTGAGATGAGAGAGAGAGCGAGAAGAGGAGCGAGAGGGGAGAGAGAGAGGAAGAGATAGAGACAAGAGAGAGTTGAGTGAGGTGAGAGAGAGCG